TATAATATATAATATATAATATATGATATATAATATATAATATATAATATATAATATATAATATATAGTGAATGATGTATTATGAGGACCAGCGGACCAGCGGACCAAAGTACCAGGGACCAAGGGACCAGCGGACTAGCGAACCAAGGGCCTAGCCAAACCTTTTACAAACCCACTTTGGCCAAACCTTTAAAAAAAAAACCGGGACCCGTGGGATTGGTGCTCAAAAAAGCAGGGGGGAGAGGAGGCCCATAGAGCTCTGCCCAACGAAGCTCTCTATGGTGACGTCAGGATACGGGACTGATCATCCCAGCGTACCTGCTTTTGCAATGACAACCAGGCTAAGCCAAAACCCTGACAAGCCGATGAAGTTGTAAAGTAAGAAACTAAAGCAAACAGCATCCATCTAAGTAGGGATGACTGGTCTGCAAGCGTGTGCGTGTGTTCAGCACCCTCGCTGCTCTCCTGCCTGCGTGGCCGATCAACGTGAAGAAGTCGGGGAAGCTTCCACAGCTCTCGGACACTTCCTGGATGCCAAAGGGCTATGGGGTACAACATCACCACAACCGGCATGTACTGAATTGAAGGAAAGAAGCGGCCATAAGCTCACAGCCTAGACGTGTTGAGACACTGGTTTGCTTGCATGACAAGAACACGAGGCAGTCATGCTCGCACTCTTTCACCAAGCACTCAGAGTAGCTGTGATAGTTGCCTCGGGAAAGGGAATCACGTCCAGAGTTTTGCCGAAAGAAAAACCGGGATCATTCCACATTCGAGACAATCATCATATGTGAGCTGCGCCCAGCTGGGGGCCTGACCACCGGACAGCCGCCTGCAGTATCACGTGACAAGAGTCCACATCCCACGCCATGCTCGAACCACCAAAGCATCCCTGCTTCTGCTGCTTTCTTCTTGATTCTTGCTTCTTCTGGCTCTTCTTGTTGTTCTTCGTTTTTCGTTACGCTTTTGGCTTTCATTTCTGACATATAGTATAACTTGTGGTTGCCTGTTATTTGTTGTGTGGGGCTTTTACTCCTTACTGTCTGCTTTTTGCTTGTTGCTGTTGCTTTAGGATTCGGGATTGGGTCCTCTGAGGCCGTTTTGTCGTCAAAGGCTCAAGAGGCCAGGAATGTAGAGATTTCAGTTCCGGCCACCGCCCACCGCCCTCTCCCCAAGCCCCACTGTTAAGTCTGTGAGGTGGCGCTTGGGGCCTTCGGGTCCGTGCCACTGAGCTGGATCATGAAGATATAACAGTAGAGTGTGGCAATCACAAATGTAAACACACCATGATGTAGCTGTGTTGAGGAAATGCCACATCGAGACAAACCCCTCAAGACTTTCTACAGGTGGCCACGCCACTGGTTCGATAATCAAGGAGGATGTCTGTTGTACTGTCATCATTGACGCCGAATGCCACCCTTACATTTCGTTCCATTTCTACTCCACAGGCTTCACGATGTTAGAAGCTTCGGCGAGATTAAAGATACCCGCTACAATATATTCACAACAGTGTTCTTCCTCAATAATTGGCCGCCAAAAAACCCCGCAAAACCGCAAGACTAGACTGCCGTGTCTAGAGGCCCACACAGCATTGGAATTCATTGATCAATGTTTTGCCGGAAAACACAACCTTTGCAAGTTGGAACTTCCGAATCGATGTTTTGCCAAAGACGAAACCCAAGCGATTCACCAACGGAGGGTTGTTCAAAACAGATTGTTGCGCTGCGCCCTTGCGCATGCCTGCGCCAAATGCTCAATTTCATAAGAAACTGAGAGCTTTAAACCTTGCGTTCACCCTTGCGTAAGCGCTAATGAGAGAGGATGACGGAAACAACAGTTTGAGACTTTGGCCCAAGTCGAAAGCCGTGCAGAACGGCAGGATTTCCAGACCACACCAATTGGCCTGGAGGGACCGACTAGCCTGCCCTGCAGGGACTTTGACTTGCACGACATCGAACGATCTGACAGCGAATATCAGCACGGGAGAGGGTCCTACAAGCTTTGCCCATCCAGCTAAAGCCCAATCGAACAGAATGTTGTGCGCTTGCCTGTTAGCCGGCTACTGGAGCAACCGCCACACAGAAGGCAGAGGACCTTTGGGGGCAGGGTTGAACGGAGCAGCTGCAACGGAATACGGCTGGAGCCTGATCAAGCTTCGAAACGCAGCACGAATCCACGCGACATTCCGAAATACATTCGGCACCGTGCAGGGAACGCAGTTTGAAAAAAGTTCGGAAGCGCCAAAGTACCGGACTTGATAAGTAGTTCGGTGCCGGGCTGACGCCGGTGGGGTCGTGGAAGGGAGGCGATGTTTCCAAAACGTGCAACATGTTCGTGACGGAGCTGCAGAAAAGCCAAAATGAAAGCAAGACAAATAAATCGTAAAAACAACAACACACTCACAACTTGCCATCCCTGTGCGCCTGTGACTCGAGCCATGTCCACCTTAGCATCTAGCAATCAGGAGAGGATCATGATGTCATCGTCAAGGTGGACGTGTCCGACAGAGGATCCGAGGCATGCTACTTGTGAGCCTGCGCCTAGAGTTCTCGGCTCCAGGCTTGCGTGGCTGTCGCTGGCATGGCTGTCGCTGGCGTGGCTGTCGCTGGCGTGGCTGTCGCTGGCGTGGCTGTCCGAGTGGCCTTCATGCAAGCTTGATTAAACTCCACAAGCCACACTGCGCACTGCTCTGCTTTATCGCCATGATGACAATCCACTTTGTGCGCAGGCATTGCCCTCGTGGCTTCTGCAATCTGCCATAGGCTCATAAGACCACAAACTTCTGCCCTTTGCACCCAGGACCTCGAGTAGCAAAGTTACCAACTTCAGCTATAGTGGTGTGACTAACCCCAGCGAAACTAGACCCCTCAGACTCTCAGCCTGATCGGCGACTACTTCCGGTGGACGCACTCGGTCAGTGAGACCAACTAGGACCGACATGCCTTCCTCTACCTCGGACCTACCATAAAGTGACGCTTTCTCTCTGTCGCCCATGCTGTGTATCTTCCAACACGCCCTTTGAACACAATAGGCCTGCTGAATGGCTTCCGTCGTCCATGGGCACTTCAGCTGCATGCTCGCTGCTGTGTTCTCCATCGCTGTGGTCGTCGGACGCATGCGCATCCTGACAAAAAGAGCAAGCTACCCGATTCTCAGCACCTTTTCAAGGTGCAACGTGGAGGAGCTCAGCCTCCATGGGCTGTGCCCCGCCAACATAGTCAACGGTCATGTTGAACAAGCCGCTGCCCTGGGTTGCAGAGCGATGGACGCTGCCTCCCGGAACACCGGTGCTAAGGCAAAAGCGTGGCTGCCATGGCCATGGTCTCCATGAGCTGGGCGCGGATGCCATACCACACCCACACTTTGACAACAGGTCCATGTCCTTCTGAGCACCGGGCAATAGTCAGCAGGATTGCAGACGCCCAACCCGGCAATTCTTCCCAATGTCTCGGCGACAACGCAAACGAGAAATCACTGACCATCGTCAGCAACACATAGGTGCTTTGGGATGCTGACGACCCCCACTGAACAAGACGACTGACAAACAAGGCCCCACTCTAAGCGAAAGCAATTGAGGACGTCCCCGAGAATAAGCGCTGCACCGGTCCCAAAGACAGTCCATGCCTGGGTTGTTGCTGCTTGCGGGATCACTTGTGCAGCGCCGAGCTTGCACTCACAGGCCCTGCCCATGGCGGAAGAAGGCTTGTGGTCGTCGGGGATGGGGTCATGAGCCGAGGTTCGCGATGTGATCTTCCAAATCGTCTGGCGCAGTGCAGTCATCAACTCGCTTGGTCTCGCAAACCTCGGGCCGTCGGATCCATATCCGCAGAGTTTTCTCGACAGGTTAGAATCGGTTGGAAGCATGTTGCAGCGGGTCAGGTGCTTAGCTGAGCTTGGAACGGTGTAGACAGGATCGACCAAGCCGAAACCCCTGTGGCGCTCGGACAGTGAGACTTTGTGAGACGTGGTCCCTGGCCCTGGCACCTGGGGCCAAGAGCAACTCCGACGGTGATCTCCAGGACGATGGAGGAAATCCTCGAGCGCGAGCGCGAGCGCTTGCCGCAGCTTCTGGGATCCTGGTTGGCTGAGTCCCGTGCCCCAACAGTCGGGAGACTTTGCTGGCTGTCCATGCGGCCCTGTCAAGAGATGTTATGCTTGCTTGTGTTCACGACAGCAAAACATCAAACATAGCATTTTTGGGGGGCGATGCGATGCTCTAGAAGTGTTTCGACTTCGCGATTGGTTAATAACTGGCGTGCTTGACGGCAGGCGCCCACGCAACAGAGGGCTACATGCATGCCGCCTTGAACATTGTTGGTGTCTGAATGCTACTTCGCCAGACCCCGCGATGTCACTCTGAGCGCCCTTGCCCAAGGAAGCCCGCGATGCTCAACATCGCGATGTAGCTGCTAGCGCCTTCGACATGCAGCTTGAGACTTGCGCGCCAGCTGCTAGAAGCCCTGCTTTGAATACTGCGATTTCTGACCCCAGCATGCATCATGTGCCTCCCATAGTGGCAAGAGTAGAAGGACCTGGCAGGATTCAACGAATACTCACCAGGCCATTGCTAGTGCCAGAGGGGATGCCATGTGCCTCGACTTTGGAGGGAGACGACAACGTTTTAGTCAAGTCCTGCCAAGGCTCGCAGCTGAAAGCTCCTCCGAATCCCGCAACGCCGTAATTACAATTGCCGAAGCCACACTTTGCTGCCGTCCCGTCCCCTTCTCTACACACCCGGAGAACTCGGGGCCCTGGGTATCGGTCCTGAAGTCAGGAATGCAGGGGCACAACTTCTGTCGGAGCCGTTACGGCAGCACAGAACTACAACATGAATGACGGAGAGAGGCAGCTCAGATGGTCTGTCGAACAGCACGGGCATGCTTCGATGCGACCCCAAGCATCTCCATTTTCCTCTGCTTTCGCAACACGTGGCCCAGGCAGCTACCTCTCCGAGACTTGGACACAGTGCAACTACTGCATCGATGAAGATGTCTTCCCTGGCGGTGCGTTCATCACAGCCCATGTTGGACCATGTCTTGACTGCGCACGGAGTCTTGTGCTGTCTATTCGCCAATCTTACAGTGACCAACCGGTCTCACGTACCGTAAAAGGAGTAAAGCTTTCCCTGCAACCTCACTGCCGTTCTACCAGAGTCCTCAGATGCGGCAGGCCGCACGGGTCCCACAGCCCGAGATCGAGAGGGCTTGAGGCCCTGGCTGTCCAGCTGGCACTCGGTTGGAGAACCATCTCTCTGCACGCACGTGCGGGTACGCATCGCGGCCCGAAGCATCCTGCCTGACACCCGCCAAGCATAAAAGTGTATGCCAAAATGCAGTCATAGCCCTTAGCAGTTTACGGCAAGGCTGGGTGCCCAGGCAGATGTGAGGTCCGTTCAGGTCATAAGTCATAAACGTCTACACCGCTGTCCCCGAAGAAGTGTAAACGTGATTCCAGCACCAACGGCTTTCCAAAACGAATCTCTCCTGGCAGTCCTAGCGGCCAAGAACCATGAGCGAGTCGTGTTTTGAGCGCAGATGAATTGCATCGCGAAGTCAAAAAAAAGCTGTCGACAGGCAGGGGTAACTGCCAGACGAATTGTAGGGATGAACCTGCTGCAATTCTGCAGTGGCTGAAGATGTCTGAGCTGCTGTCCAGCTTTCTGGCGCGGCAGAGGTTCGGATAAGGTCTGAACTGTTCATTCAGCTGGAGCCAGAATGCCAAAAGATGTTCAAGCTGTGACTCTGACCGTCTGCCATTATGGCGAAGATCATATGGCCACAAACACCCAGAAATAATGACTGAGTGTGCTCCTCAAAAGGCACAAAAGGCCGGCTAACCCGTTGGCCCGGAGTTACCTAGTCCTGTACAGATCTGTACAGTACGACCTGCAGAGTTCGCAGGGACATGGTGCCACGAGATGCAAGAAGCACGACTGCTGCTCACGCCGTGGCTCCTCGAAGCGCAACCTTTCAGCCAGGTGCATGCAGGACGTAGGCTAGCGGAACAGCTCAAGAGCTGCCTTCCAACAGTTGCAGTGTCTATAACATCAGAGAGTCACACAAACTCTTACCCGTTTAGGTGTCTTACCTGCCTGCCCAGGCGCAAGGTTTCAGGAGCCCGCAACTGGAGTTGCTAGCAGGTCATGGAAGGCAGCACTGTCATGAAGGGCGGTGGAGTTGGCGGCCGCACCCTTGGTGGACACCAACCATCATCAGGCTACAAACTTGGGCGGTGGACTCTCCATTCTTAGTGTTGCCCAGTATTACACGAAGGAGAAAACCTGGACTGTCCTGCATGCCAAAATGCACCATCCCTCGACCTGCTGCGCTTGGGCATCTGATCAGGAGGAAGGTCCTGTCAGCTGAGTTCGTTCGGTGGAAGCTTGAACAATACAGCACGGAATCAACCTTGAAGGCCAGCAGTGCACTAGATGTGACGCTGGAGCGATCTGTAAGACACGAACGTGCCAAGCATGTAGACTTTTTTTCGGGTGCACAAGTAATACTGGACCAGGGAACCAGGGAATCGATAATGACGATGCAGGCCAAGTGTCTGTGTTGATCACCGTCTGATTCATCTCGTGTATGAAATACCGTGCATAGATAACCTCAGCCAAGTCTCGTATGACAGCATTCCTACGCAGTATCGTTGGGAAATCTCACATCCGAGCATTCGCAAGTTACTGGGCCTTTGCTGGACTTGCCAAGAATATTCCCAAAATCGCTAAATTTCCAGGCCGTGGCTTGGCGGCATCTGGTCAAACAGCAGCTTGAATCAGGCCCAACCCCTAAAATGACTTCGGGCTTGGCCCTGGAACATGCCGTTTGGCTTGGTTCAGGCTCCGCAGAGCTAGTTCGAGGGACCACACATCTGTTCGGACGAGATGAGCATTGTTTAGCCCACCCCAGAATGCATTTGCGCTTTGAGGCTTTGGACTTTGACCTTCGGTCCGCTCAGATGCGGTTTTCAGGCCCAGACCTCAACAAGTTTGAAGCACGCGCGGATTGGGTTGGGGCGGGAGAAGGCAAAACTGCTCAGGCCAAGACCATATGCAGTTCTGCCTAAGAATATGAAAACTGCTCTTGCGTTTACGGCCCAGGCGCAGGACGGCATGAAACACCAAAAGCGTCCATTTCTTAAACTAGCCGAGTCTTCAAAGACGTGCGGCATCGAATGCATGTCTGCAGGCTGAGAGATATCTAACCTGGTTCTCGACTGGACAAGAGATTGAAGACGCTTGAAATCTTGGCCATCATTGGCGAACGAAGCTAACACACAGACATTGGCAGAAGCTAGCCCTCTGCACTGAACCTTGCGCAAGGACCAAGGAAGCCTAAGACAGAGCTGCTGCTGAGAAACCACATCGCAGAATGTCGGCAAATCCTCGACGGGACGTACGCACATGACCGACCGACGCGGCGAGCCGAGCGTCCACACGCGCATGTACATGTGCATCACTGTATAGCTCCTGTTGCACCACACGGCCAAAGTCCTCGCTCTTGATTGCCAGAATCTGCGAGTCCTGTGCTGTGAGAACAAATTCGTCCAACAATCGCCTGTCCTACCTCGCAACAAAGCGGCATTCACTAAAATGTCAAGCGGCTGTTGTCCCAGAGAGGCGACCGGTGTGTTGCCACGAAGTCCTTTGAAGGATGTCAAATCCCAATCCCCGGTTCTGATTTGGTGCATCATCCATTTGCTATTGCCGAATCTTGGCGGCCTTGCGCATTGACGTTTCCTACATGGCATCCAGGGGGGGGGGGGGGTGGGGGCGAGGGGGGCCAGAAACTGTTCGAATCTTGAATTCGTTTGCTGCCAGACGTATCCTTACCAATATGTCAAGGCCGTTGAAACCGCCTGGAAACATTGCGGCGCATAGGTTCAGGCTTCGCAGTTGGCTTGTGGCACTCTGCTTCCCCGTCATTTACAAGTTTCCAAACCACGGCCAAAAAAAGGATGCGACTGCCATCTACCAACTGCACGGAGACTTCTGCAGAACGACATGGGAAACTATGATTACATTTCAGACATGTTGACAGATGCCAAGGTGCCAAAGGGCATGCTCGCTGATCCACGACCCCGACGACAGTTCCAGCGACGAATCCTTGCTTCGTCAACCCGGGCGCGCAAGCGCAGGGTTGTAAGTTGCAGCCCGATAACTACGACAACCATCAAAACACTTTGTTCAGGATCTTCAGCAGACCGGGCACTCGATTCTTGTTCAAGCCGTCGTGGGGCGTCACCTGGTTCCGGTTCCAGCTCGACCGGCAACAGCCTTAGTGGCAAGCGGACAAGGGAGAGAGCTGCTTTGAATGCTTTGATACCTTTCCAGACAACCGCAAGCTGAAGATTGGAGGTCCATTTCTCTGGCTTCGCCGGTGGGCTGCTTGGTGCGCCCTTTGCCAACCACGTCAGACATCACAAGTTAAGCCATTACCTGTAGAACTGTGTCGCTTGCTTCTAGCCCCGACTCTTGGTGCATTCGCTTGTGAAACCGCAAAGGAGTGTGCCGGCACCAGCGGGGCCCACTTGGCTCGAGCCATTCTTGTTGATGTCATGCGCGAGCGGTTCTTCGCCGTAGATGACTGAAATGATTTTTAGGTTGCTAGCTGGCCACGTCCAGCCGCATCCAGCCAGTTTGCATGAGTGCTGCAGAGGCTTCCTGGGCCTGCGCTCTCACCGACATGACGTGGTCGGAGGTGCAAGAAGATGCAAGAACTTCTGGCCAGCTGCGGTTAAACCACCGTGCAAAAGTTGTTTTTGCGCTGTCCTTGGGCGTGGCCGCGGGCCGGGACGTGTGGCCGCGAGGCCGCGGGGGCGCGAGCGGCGGGTTCGGGTGCCGCGGGCCGTGCGACCGCGGGCCGCAGCAAAAAATAAAACGCCAAATGAAGGGCCTGTTTAAGATATGCGATGAACCGGGATGGCCGCAGGAGGGGGCGTCTGTAATAAATATGTTGAAACGGGATGGCCAAAGGACGGGATGTGTTCAAGATCTATGCTGAGCATTGATGAACCGGAATCGCCAAAGGACGGGATGTGCGTAAGATATATGATGAAATGGGCTAAGTGAGGGGGTGTGATTCAGATATATGAAAAACCGGAACCGGTATCGCCAAATGAAAGAGCATGTTGAAGATATATGATAAACCGGAGTCGCCAGACTCGGCAAAGGAGAGGCGTGTTCTGAACCGGAGACGCCAAATGACTGGGCCTGCCTAAGATATATGATGATTCGGGATCGCCAAGTAGAGGGGGCGGCGTCTTTACGATCCATGAAGAACCGCGGCCACGAGCCGCGGCCGCATGAAAATACTACTTTTGTCCCTGAGCAAAGGTGAGACGTTGCAGCCAGGTCGCAGAGGCGCTCTCTGACCGTCTCTTTGTGGATCGAGTCTCTCCCTGCCGGTGGGGAGCTGTGCTGAGAGTCCCGGTGTATCACGGTAGATCGGAACATGCACTCTCGCCGGAATCTGGCAGACACGACCTAGAAGCCATGTCGAACTGTTGGGTACACCGAAAGCGTCGATTCTCACTTCCAAAGCGAATCGAACATGACACAAGCCAAGACAGAACCCTTCAAATTCCCTGTGCATCCTCCAGCAATCTCCACGTCCATGGAGTATCGCAGCTTCCCAGACTCACACATGTACATGCCTCAGAGAGCCAGCGCGTGACAAACGAGAGCTCCGAGTCTCGACGACTCCCTCTCTGCGGTACCGAAAGCAGACGACCAACACACGCTACGTTGAGCCGCGAAGGATAGCCTACGAAGCCCTGGATCGACATCGGCAGAAGTGATGTCTATCTTCGACCTGGCTAGAGGCTGGAAGCGACGGCACCGACTTCGAAGATTGCATCGCCAGCCAGAATGTGCTGCCTGAGCGAAGAGGGAGTACTAGCAGCCGTGCAAAGCAAACACGGCGACGTGCTAATGCTTCAAGGGGGCTCGTGCACGGCCTCATAGCCTTGCACACGAGGCGGGCAGAATCAAGGGCAACTAGCAGTTCAGTGCCCTGACGACATACTTGCACTACACACGCCATCTATGAAGGCCCGGATTGCGAAGCGGGGCGCCCCAAATCCTCCATAGGACTGGGACGTGACACTTGGGGCCGCCCTGGCCAAGCGGCAGAGGTCTTCCATTGCATGGCTCGAAGAGATCTTTATCTTCGAGAACAGGTCGTGCTGAACCAGCGTCGGCGTCCTGCGACTTTCAGCTCGTCTTCACATCTTTGCACTACTGATCTATGTTGATAAAACAATCGAGACGCGGAGAAGCAGTAATCGAAACCTCTGGTCACCGTCTTGATAGTTGAAACCGGACGCCGCTGAAAAGAAAACCAGAGACCTTTAACCCAAAACCCGCCAGCAATCCAACAACAAGCAAAATGCCCGTAAGCCTCGACCTTATGCCGCTGCGCCGCTTGGGAAAATTCGGCAGATCGGGGAAACATTCCTGGAAATGGTAATCCTTGGGCTCTGAACCCTGCAGCCTTTAGCCCTGAAGCACCAAACCCCAACGCGATGCATCCTGATGAATAGATGCCATTGAACGCCTTGCTGCGGCACGGTTGTGAGACCCTAAACCTGCTTTTGGACGGTGTCCGGTGTAACATTCACGCACTGAAGGCTCAGCAGCCACCGAAACCTCGGAAAGCGGTCCTCGCCGTATGATACCTGCGCTCACATGCTGGCTACTTGTGCGATACGCAGAGACTTCGATGCACTGCTGAGAAATCGCGCATTGCTGCGCCTTAGGGGCACCTCTATTTAAATCTATTTGTGTCGAGAGGCAGCACTCGGAGCAGCTCCTCCGGCAACGCCGCCTCCAAGACCTGCAGGGGCCGCGCGACCGCCCCCCGCTCTGCACGCTGCGGCGCGCCGCCGCGCGCACTGCCTTTCACACTCTCTGTGCCTGAAGGCTGGCCTTCCACTTCACCCGCTCCTGAAGGACCGACCCTTCTGCCCGCTTGACTTTGCGACGGCGATCGCTCACACGGATCCATCAACAAGTGCGGTGTTCTGGGATCATGCAAATCCTCTACACTGCATGTACGAGTAGATACCAAATCGAGAAAACAAGCCTGTCAAAGGGATGTATCCGCTGCCAGAGTTGATCCGGAGCCAGGTCAGAGCACTGTTAACCGCGAAGACCCAAACTGCAGAGCCCTGATCTGAAATGCTGGCCGGAGAGAGTGGTCCCATAAAGCTACCTGGGAAATGATTCATGCCTACTGCCTACTGCATTGGCCCCGATGCCCAGCTCCTCTTCTCGTTCCTGGGCTGCAGATCGGAAGGAACCTCAACAGCCTGCACCTCCTGATAATGCATGTACCCGTGAGCCGGGCATCAATGTACTTCTTCAGCCGGACAGTAAGGGCCGCATTGATGCGGTGTGTGGCTGCATAGTCGCCTTGCGTGCAGCTCTTTGGACACGCGTTTTTTGCAAACCTTGAGCATGCAGCAGACCGCTTCGCGACTGTCGCAGCACGCTGGGGAATGCGAGTTGACGTTGCCAAATTCACCAAATGCACCCGAGACTCTGATGGCTCCCAGCTTTCTGCTCCGTTCTTTCCTCCGTCCGAGCGAAACCAATGGTCTCAAATCTCAAGAGCAGCCTTAGGCCTTGCACATATGCTGCTAAGCCAGGAGACTTAAGTTCTGCATGCCTGGCATAGATCCATAGACATTGCCGGAACCCCTTGCAGGTTCTCATGTTCAACGATCTTCACTGCATCCATGATTCCACATGCGCGCCAACTTGGCCATCGTGTTTGTTACATAACCTCAGAAGCCACAGTCGATAGAGACAAAAATGGCACCCGGCGATTTTTTGCACAGAGCAGCTGATGAAAATCGAAGAGAACAGGAGTGATCCGAAGCTGGCGACCTGGGCTTCGGGCACAGGGACCGGACCACCTACACCATGAGCGTAAGATTCCGACGAGCGAAAACATTCGCTCTTGCGGCAGCCGCAGCTTCCTGGGCTGACGTGGCATGTAGCTGCAGATAGGCAATTCTGGGCCGTGTGTCGGCCTTCTCTGTGCTACCAGCAACCTTCTCCAGACAACCCGAGGAGCATGTTGTCTCGAAGCGAAATGGGGTGTAACCTGCTCAGTCACTGCATCCGGCACCATAGCTGGGGCAACCAACCCCGCCTCGACAGTGACCACTGCATGCTCTGGAGATAGGTGGTTCCTCCCAGTAAACCGTCCAGCATGTCTTTTGGGTATCTTTAAATGCAAAAACAGCACGCCGAAATTCAACAGAAATTGAACAGATCAGGCAGACATTTGAATCGTGCGGGCGCTGTGGCTGAATCCACGCAGGTCCTAGATCCTGGCCGTACAATCCTTCAGTGTAGACCCATCCTTCTTCCTGGCCGGATTGAGTATGCAACAGACCTCGTTATGCTTTGTGCACTCCAGCCTCAAGACTCTTAGAACATACGCGTCTTCTGCAACAGCACCGTGTCTTGCTGATCTTCATTAGCAGCTGCATCCATCTCTGCACAGCTGGAGACTTGAAAACAAGCAAAGCACAGCAAAGCACAGGCCTCGCTACCAAGCCAATACCAAACCTGAAACAAACCATGGAGCATTGCTTCTCATGACGAGACTCAGGAGACTTCGACTCCAAAGCAAACATGGAGAGGTGGAGCAGATTCCGACGGCATGGTCCGGAGCCCAAGGCACACATGCGAGGACATGGGTCAGCAGCATCGTCGAAACGAAAAGCTGGACGACATTGATCATGAAAGTGACCTTGCTGAAGCATACTTCCCTGAGACAGCTGCTCCTGCACATCAAATCACTTCAGCCTAGCAGCGATTTCTCCTGCCATCCGCTGCTTTAAGTCATCGAAGAGGCGCTTCCTTGATGGTGTACAAAGGCACGAACTACATGTTGGAAGCTCTCATGTTCGCTTGAAGCATCAGCCCCTGTGCAAGGATGACACGCAGAGCGCAATCACCTAGGTACTTTACCAGAACTACACCAACAATGGTTGGCTCAAGACTCGGAGCAAATGCACAGAGTGCGAGTGGGGCTTGGGGTTGTTTCCGGGTTTGGGGATTGGTTTCCCCTGCATGGTACCCGAGTCCCCCCCTGTCCTGGTACCCTAGTCCTGTGGCCCAGCCCAGGGTGTGAAGGGTTCGTTCGTTCAGGGGTTCAGGGCTAAGAAGGCGGTTGATGTTTGAAGTCCGAGGTAAAGAAGATGGCGAGGGATAATAGAGATATGTCGAGGGTTCTGTTGAACGATGTTCCTCTGCAGATGCTTTCGCAATCTCCCACTCCCTCTCACTTCAGCATAATCACCGACTATCACCGAAGGCCGCTCAAGTCAACATCACTTGAGTAGCAAAGCTGAACCTCTTGGCCTTCCAGAAGTCCGAATCCTGGGAAATGCCTTAATGCTACTGATCCAAACCCCGCTACTTCCGCTACTTCGGCAAGATGCAGCTTGACAACACGAAGCAAACGGGCCAGGCGCAACATCCGAAGAATTCGTCCAGTCCTGCATGCATTGGGCCAGTTGGGCCGGGCGTAGCCATGTCTGCTTGAATGCTGTAGAGGTGTTGTTGTAGATTCTCTCAGCTCAAGCGGCCGCACCTCATTGTTCTGGCCAACGTAAGCGTGTCAGCAGAGTTCATGTTTGCAACTGTCGCAACCCAATCCACGCTCACCTCAGACGCAGAAAGAGACGGAAGGAAGGGTGGATAGCCCTTATGTTTCTGCATCGCCCAAGCATGACTCTCGCACCAGAAATGTTGAAGCAACCTTCAAGAAACTCACCATGAAGCAGGCATGCCACAAGCAAGAAGTCGATTGGCATCCATGTCCTCGAATACCTTGCTCCATAGGTGAGGCTGCTGAAAACTCGCAGCAGCTGGTCAAGTCCGCTCTGGATAGCTGGGTAGCTGGATTGATGCCTTTTGCAGATCGGACCCCGCATGCTGGCAAGGCACGAGTACAAAATAAGATAGTAACTCGTCACCAGCTTCCCGTTCCGGTACGTTGCAGTCAGCATGGACACCGGGATGTCAACCGTCCAGTAGACGGTGCAAGTCATCTGGGCCAATGATTTCGAAGGGTGGGTTGGAGCTACCACCGAAAAAATCCCTCAGGCTGGCTTCAATCTTATTTTCAAAAGTATGATTCAGCTGAGGCAACATGAGATACATGTGTCCGTAAGTCTGTACTTTGCTACTTGCTCCGCTTCGATAGTAACTTAGTATGCTTGCATCAGTGTCTACATCTGCATGCACGCATCCACTGTTGATTTTTCTTCTACCCCTGTTCGACCTGTCTATCAATCTCAATCTCTCGCTGTTGATCTTCTTCCACACGGCTTGACAAGAGCTGCAAAGCATCAACCCCTTCACCAGATCGGGAGCAAGAGGCAAACCCCAAACCCTAACAGGGGGAAGGAGTAGGGCCGTGCGCCAGGATAAAACCGACATGGAAAATCCTTCAACCCTGAAGGGAAAGGAGTAGCAAAACCAGAACTGTGCAGGGAGTGAGGGAGCGGCAAATCGCGAAGATCAAACACTGTCCAACCCCAAAGCCAAAGAAAAGCAGTCTGGAGTTGGACGCCAAACCCGTCAAGCTCTGGAGCTGCGAGCCTACAACCCTAAGACGGATGGTTGCGTGTCAAGCCCTGGATGAAAAGACTTGCCCACTAGCCCAAAACAAGCTACCTCATGCAGGCAACGCGTATTTCTTGATTGCGGATTGCTAGAATGAGTTGCGTGGCACAGGTCGATTGTTAGCTCTCGCTCTGCATCTGCTTGATCATTCCCAAAGCCAAGTCATGAGGGGTAGGGGATTCTGTGTCTCCCCGACTTTCTTTCTTAAGGGACAGACCCTACCGTCCCGCTTATAAAGCTAAACCGATATGTTGGGAAGAGGCCTATGACACGATGATGCCGATTTGTATATCTTGGCTTTACCTATAACCGATGCTTTGCTATTGAACTGCCAGCAGGCAGCTTTCAAACAGACGCCATTTCTTATCTCTCACATGGCCTAGGGCCTAGCAGCAGTAAAGAGAAGGAAGGCATCGGGCACCTTCATACACTTGATCCGTTTTGCTATGAGCCCGTAATTGAAAAACTGCTTTGCATTGGAATTAAGACATTGAGAGCTCAACTGGCATTCTTAACTTCCAAAACATTCACAATCTGAAAAACTTCACATAAACTTTTTCACTTGCAATAATGTCAATTCTGCTTATACCAAAACTAAGCAAAATAATCATATTGCCAAAATTCACAGTTCAAATTCACAGTCACCAAAAGGGCCGTGGTATTCTTTACCGTCATAGTAGCGTTTGCAGGTGTTCTGCTGGGGCGGCGACCGACCATAAGTCTGTTCAGTCTCGTTCATTGTAGGTGGTTGAAATCATCTTTGAGTTTCTTACTTTGAATCACTGAACGTTTTAGGACAAAGAGGCAGCCGAGAAGGCGCCGGGAAGACTATCTGCAATACTTTCTATCTCTTGTCCATTTCTGTAACGAAACGTACAATGATCATTCGTTGTGACTGCCGTCAGTTGCACACGTAATGGAAGGAGCCGTGCATCATTGCTCAAGTAAACGCTAACATCCGGAACGCTGACGTCCGGCGGCGGATCCTTACAGACAGATGGTAGTAAGGCCGGCACCGCCATGGCAGACGTAAAAATAGTGTCGGGTATATCGAAGACCTTAACTGGATCTCGTTGAACTTGGCATCTGCGCTTCGTGCTTCAAAGCGCACAAGCTGAGGACGCTGCCAACATCGGAGTGACAACCTGAACTCGTAAAGAGAGCGGAAACCATGTCAAGAACGCACATATTGGGTCGATCGTGTCCCCCTCTATCGAAACAGCAGGACAGTATGTCTGAGGAAGCTGTAGGAAAGTACACACAGCTTAGATACAAAGGCGAGGTCTCAGGTGTACAAAGTGATGCACCCAGCGTCGGCTGACGGTTAGCAGAACTGTGCGTCCGTTCATTCCTCAAACCTGCCTTGCCAAGGGCTGCACCCAGATTTTTCTGCCCAAGACGTGGTCTCCTTCTACGCTTCTCGACAAACTGGGAACCTGCGCTTTGTTTACAAGGTCTGCACCTGGAGGACACAGCCGCCCAGCATGCGCAAATACGAGTTTAATAGGCCGAGAAGCCATGTCGAAGAGGAGCAATACCATTGCCAGTAGATCCTGGTGCTATTGACTCGGACTAGCAGTAAGGCATACTGCTCCGGTGCTCTGGCTCTGAGGACGCAGTCCATCGCAGTCCGACTCTAAAGCTACTCGGGGAGAAAGCCAGTTTCTTGGTTGGAAACAAGTCCAATACCGCAAAACAGTGCTGCCGAGTATCCCAAACGAGACGCCTCTTGGAAGACCTCGGTGCTTTTCAGAAGAGGATGTCGTGAGGCTGTGACTCGACAGCCGGGGGCGTCTTGGTTTGTTTGCAGAGAGGACCAGGCAAGGATGGTATTGCCGCAATGCCCTCCCCTCTCCAGGCCCTCTGAAGGATTTCCAAAGTTTGGAAGCCTGACACTGGATGCTCTGAGCAGTCGGCGGGTGGATCGGAAACAGCTGCCAGGAATTCAACATGCGCTCCTCCTGCACCTATCACACTCTGAGAAGCAAGCGCGCTTCGGTGAAACTTCGTCCATGCCTGCCTCTGCAGGTGTTGGTCCCTGCTCGGAGGCTGCCGAAGCGACGTGTTTCACATTGTACCCAGCTACCTGCACTGCCAAAAGAGACAAAGCCCAGTGTCACGCGAGCGCTGGAAAGAAAAGAAAGTTTCCGGACACAGGGTCCAAAGCCGACCACAATGAAAATGCGAGATGCGAGCTCTGAGCTCTGCTTTGTAATGCACCTCCGCTTCATGTCCTCAGCTTGCCATTTATAAGCATTTAGGGTCTCCTGCATCGGGTTTCTGACATCGCTCCCGACAACATTCGGGATGGGGAAGTGCTTACACAAACAAGTTCGCTGCTGCTGGATGGAATCTGTGATCCCTTGCAGCACGACATCTTTCGCGGTTTCCCTCACTGGCAACATTGACATGGTTCCACGAGCTCTTCGTCACCGATATCAAAGCTCGCTCGCAGCTGGAAGCGGTCCACCTTGCAAAAAAAAGCATGTCTTGCGGAAAACTAGGTTCCTGCGATCACAGCAACTGGCGCTTGCTGAAAATCGAGGTCCCTCTGCTATCATCGCTTTCTTGCTGATCCGCAGTCTGCCGCTTCACCTTGCGTGCTCCTTTGGTATCCCCTACACAAATAGAACTCCAGACTCCAGTCCCTTAGTCTTTGCTGTTGGACTTTGCGAAGCATTAGCGACGCTGCTAAGAAGATGATCACTTGTCGGGCGCCGTCGCCGAACAGGTTTGCCCGCACCTCCACTGTGGCCTCCTTTCGGACCGCCTCTTCGAAAGCAGCCGCATCTCCTAGCTGAGCACCAGCAGGTCACCACACTCAGTAGACTCTCCAGATCTCTCCATGAAAACGTCCTACACTGCTAGGGATGAAACGCAAGGACGAGCTGCTCATGGCCAAGGCTACCCGGTCCGTTGCTGAGATGCTCTGACGTCGCTCCATCAACCTCCGATGCAACGAAAAACCAGGAAAACACTCCATAGCGCAGCAAAGAGCCTCCATGCTGGCCAGCCCCATACATGCATGATCATGTGCGCTTGCAGCCAAGTAACGCCCGTCGAACTGTCCTACAAGCAGAGCCAACAAAGCAGAAAAGCCGTGACGACTCCACCGTTTACAGAGCTCTACGAGCATGACAGAAACTAAGTAGCCTTTCAGAGGTGCGACTGCATGGACAGGAATCACAATTACTTTACTGCAGCAATGATCGCCCGGAAAGCAGCGGAATGCAAGGTGAAGATAAGAATAAATTGGCGACAGCATCCTCATCCAGCCCTGGAAGCTGTCCAGGAAAAAACCCGGCAGAACGACACCATCACAGAGCAACTCGTCCAAGGCGCGCCGACTCCCTCTCTTCGGAAAGCCGACGTTCGCTCGTGTGACCCAGACGCCGCGCGAGCAGAAACTTGTGCACCACGGGCGCCAAGCGGCCTTTGAGCCTGACGAGAGCGGAGGGCCGGAGGTACCGAGCGCGGAGGCTTTCCGAGGGCTGTCGCTCTCTTCTCGCTCGGTCGGCGCTCGGTGCAGTGCGCCTCTTCTCCGGAGCACCCGGGCCGGAGCTTCGCGGCTCAACCCGCACCTGGCACGCCGCAAGTGCACGCGCAGCGGCGCGCGGGAAACTTCTCGCCTCCATCTGCGGAGGGCAGCTTGCAGGGGCCGAAGGCTCCAACGTCACGGAATGGGCTTGTAGTTCCCGCATGTGCGCCTGTTCGATAGTGTATAGTGAGGCAATAACAAGCTACCAGAAAACTCTGACATGTTTGCGGCTACAGTGCTGCCTCCAATAGCTTTGTCTGTAACGTCCCCAGTTCGGCAATCAGATCCTGGCATGACCAACGAGGAAGCTTTGCTTGCCTTTCTCCGGAAGAAGGCTTCGATTTAAGAAGGGTGGAGTCAATAAACATGGACCAAGGTACATCTTGTCTGGTTACTTCAACCAACCCTTGCCGACAAAGCAGAGCTGTAGCCTTAAGGCGTAAGCCTTGTAGGCCACGCCGGTGTTCAGGCCTGGAAAGTCTTCGGCATCTGGGGCGTGCCCGAGGGCTTGTCGGCCGCCTCCAGAGAAGAGTCCACAAGCATTTCAAGAGAGAGAGAGAGCCCGAGCTTCGAGGAGTCGCTTTGCTGTTGAGCATCTGGAACCATGCACATCCCGAAAGGTGGCGACCCTCTCATGACAAGGCAAAGGATACCGTCTCTTCCAACCACGACATGCCCTGGACAGCTCCCGCCATGATGCTGCAGGAGCTTGAAGAACATACCTGGCAAAAGTCGAAAACAAGCCATTGTTCTGCTGAAGGAACCTGTGCCGCTAAGCTACCAATTCACGAATGAACCACTAATGCCAGTAGAAGGCTGTCCAACTTCAAGATACGACAGCACTGGGGAACGATTGCAGCTACGGGAAGCCTCGAGGCATCTTAAAAGGGCTCGAACTGGAGCGAAAACCAGTCCAAGTCAAAGCAACATGCGACTTTTTCGTCAAAGCAAAACCAAAGGAGCTCTACGCGGCACCTCGACATCGTTCTCTTCCTCATTGTCATCGTCCCTTTTTGCTGCTGGCTCCTCAGCACATGTTGGTTTGCTCGGGGTGGACGTCTGCAGGCACAATGGCCGAAACATGGGATTCGCCCACTGGAACAACCATTCGTGCACCGCGGCGGCGGATTCGAATACAAACGATTTGCGTATTGACGCGAAGGGCGAAGGGTACGGCTACGGGTATTCCCACACTGGAAGCGCCGGATTCGAGCACTCTCGCTCAGCCGCTTGTCAGTCAGCAGCTCCAGGCGATTCCCAGCTATTTTAGGGATTGGTGTAATCCTGCACTTGAGATGCCGAGCATCCAAGCAACCGAGACACTAAAGACCGCAAAGCCGTGTAATCCCCAATCCTAAACCCTGAACCCTGAACATCCTAAACCCCTAAAGCCCTAAAGCCCTACAGCGCTTAACATTAGACCGTGAATGTCATGGCTCTCCTTGTAAATCTGAGGTGCTTGAATCGCGCGTGCTCGAATTACAGGTGCTTGGATCGCGAGTGCTCGAATCGCAGTGTTGGAATCAAGGCCAGTGCTCGAAAGACATTGACGCGCGTTCGAAATCTGAGCTGCAGAAACTGATTCAGCCTACTAGGCCTTCTTGCAGAGAAACACATATCCCTGAAATTGCCTCATGAACAGAATTAATCCTTGACTCGCACTCCTGGTGCCTCAGACCTTGGCGTCTCCTCCTAAGTTTGAGGCTGTGCCTTGCTGGGCACTGTGCAGTGCTGGGTCTACAGTTTGGTCCCTTGCCGCTTCCAGTTCCGGGTCAGTTCCGGGGTCCTCTGGCGCTCCTGGTGATTTCTGGTGGTTTGGCCTCTCTCATCTCCCTCCGTGCTCGCTTGCGTGTCTCCCTCTTGCTTGATGTCTTCTTTCCCCTTACCCTGCAAGGGCACTCGCAGCGGTCTGAAAATGCCTGTCCCAAGGGCCTAGAAGTCAAAAGATTGAACGGGACGATGGCGAATGACACTTCCAGCTCTAGGGGCCCCAGCAGTCTGAGCTCTCGGGATCTCCACAGCCGCCGCCATGACTACGATATGTCTACATGTGCCACGCAGAGACAGACTTTAGGACTCTGCAAAGACGTTGCATACAGCGTCGGGTGGGTGTCCTCCCGTGCATTTCTTGGGGCTGCTGCTGTTTTGTTCTCTGCTGCTGGTGGGCCATCTGGGCTTGCATGCCCCGCTTGAGCGCTAGGTGACTGCGTGAAACATATTCCGAGCAGATGTTTCGGCATGAGCAACATGGTACCTCCGAATGAGACGTGTGCATGACATCGAAGTCGAGCATTCACTCTTGGGCCTTCCACTCTTCGGATGCAGCGGCGCAGCTGTGCTCCTGGCACACGGCGTTGCGAAATTAAGCATGGCCAATGAACGGCTAGAGATCGTCGCATGTCACACGAAACTGGATGGCAAATTCAACGCTTTCGACACTTTCGCACACAGGTTCTGACAATTCACATGTTCATTCTGCTTGTGCATAAACTTGCGAAACATCGAGAGACTGGGGCCAGGTTGCTGGAGTGACATGGCCGGGCGGCTCTGCATTCAGAACAGGCTCTCAATCTGGAATCGAATGCCAATCCTCCTTCTGATGCAAGATTCACATACACACAGGCATTTTGAATGTCGTTCCAAACTATGTCATCCTGATGGTCGCCTTCAGCCGCCTGAGGACGAGCTGTCCTCGCATCGGAACTCAAAGTGTGAGCTTCCGGAACAGACCCTGGTGTGTGTTTGTGTGGTTGTCTACATTAGTCTGAGTCTATATGCCCACGCATACTGTATGTGTAAGTATGTATGTATGTATGCATGCATGCATGTATGTATGCACATAGATAGAAAGATAGATAGATCGATAGATAGATAGATAGATACATGAATCAATTACCCCCCTTCTCGACCTGAATCCAACCCTTGGCTGTTTGATGCAAGTTCGTATGCCTGACTCCACGGATTTGTCTTGTAGCAAAGCGGTGTCTGCACACTCGTCTCAGCCCCGAAACCCCAAAAGTTTTGAAGTTGTGCAAGCTTCAAGCGTTAAACCCTTTCCCTTAGACCCCAAGGCCTCAAGAGCTTCGAAAACCGTAGCCGAAGACAAAGCCAACGGGTGCTGTCCGATTTGCCGGAGTTGCCTAAAGCTGTACTGGGCCGGCACCTAATTGTTGCGTCTGTACTAGCGCTAGTGCTGCTGCTGCTGATGCTGCTGCTACTGCTACTACTACTACTACTACTACTACTTCCACTTCCACTTCCAATTCGCGAACATGTGTCCATGTCCTGCGTGCCCTGCATACAGACATTCGTCCGGCTATCAATTAAGACAGCAGCAGTTGGCAGTAAAAACAGACAGATCTGGTTTTCAGGTCTGTGGAAATAACTCTGTCCAGACACCCGAGCCGAAGCTCCAAGCAGTGTCTCTGGCACTGATGCCGCCCCTAAAGGGCCAAGCACATCAGAGAAACAGCAATGTATCTTCGGCTGTACAATGAAGCATGCTGCTAGACATGAAACATGTTGTGAATGATACTGTACACATCTACATTCAGCATCGCTTTCATCCGTCTTTTAGACTCTTATTGCTCTCAGCGACTTCACTCAAGTAATCATTTGACCTCGGAATAACAATCGGCATCTGGAGCTCACGAGGACTCGGCTCAGCAAGAACAGGACTTTGTCGCCAATCTTTCACTCAGTATCGGAATCGTGCCAGCCCTCTATTGGAGCATATGAGTGAGTCTTCATGCAATTTCATGGGGAGGGCAGCTCATCCGCCCAAAAAGCATCCTCGCGTGGAACGAAACCCAGCTGTGTTAGATACTGTACATCATGTCTGGGGATTCTTTCTGCCTGTCTAACATGGTATGCGATGAGGCTGTAGCGTTGCCCCGTCCATGGCATTGTTGCATGCCGCTTCCTTGGTTGAAAAATCACCGGCTCCTGAGTGTTGTGCAATATGCCTGAAGGACCATCTGTCGTCAATTTGATATTACCCGCATTGTGTTCCACCCACAGCTCGCCTCCTCCATAAACCGAGAAAGGCAATATCAGATTGCATGTTTGATCATCGTTGTGGGAGTCCATGTGCATCAACGATTGCACATTGCAAATCAGACTGATAGTGGTGAACCTATGCGCGTAATGAATAGAGCGAACCAGCCTGCATATCAATGAGCACGTCCAAGGAAAGTGACGAGTATGTCGCCGTAGGCCATGAAAGGATTTGTGTGAGTAACCACCCACCGAAAAGGATCCACTCGTATCCATGCCTTCATGTTGGGGAATCGACTGTGGTCCAACTTGAAATGCTCTTTGTGGAGTCTCCGTTGGCAGCAACGCAAACAGCCCCCGTAGCTGTTTCCATGTTACCTGTCCGTTATGGATAAGCCGACAGGCCAAGGATTCCGCATCACCTCGTGGCTCATCCTCAGGCACAAACCTGAGGCTGGTGCGATATACACCTGGCACAAAAGAAGTCCAAGGCGTGGGACCTTCAACGTATGGCTGGGGTGGGGAGTCATAAAGACTACATCCAGTGTATGGCCTGAAAGTCCCGCGCAAGATATCGACGAGGCTCCATCAAGCGGCTATGAGGTGCCCTGTGGTATAATGCACTGCACTGCTCGAGACGCACAACATCGATAAAGAAGCAACCTAATGCCGTCCGCGAACACATCTGTTGACCTGTGAACACCGCGAACCTCGACCGCTCAAAAAGCATCAAAGAGCATCATAACAAGACTAGGGCCACGACCAAGCGCATGGCGTGCTGTGGATCCTGAAGCTCGTGTCATCAAGTAATGCATCCAGCTGTCAGCTCAAGATGAACGCAGGGATCCAAGCCGAATGTCAACGCAGCGTTCCTTTGATGTCGGCGCTTGCACACTCCGGCCGGGATGTTCGTTCTATCCGCGACTGTTGCGACAGGTAAGCCTGAGGTATGTCATGATAGAATGAGACCAAAATCAAAACCGTCCGGAAACCAGCGGTTAAGCAGAAAAAGTGCCTCCGCGGACACATGTGGCCCGTCACACCATCCTGAGTTCAGGTTGCTCCTCCAAGTCAAAGCTGACGCGCAATCAGCTGAGCCAAAGCACTACGTTGTGGACGCTCCGGTCGCATGTTCATAGCAAGAAGCTGCGTGCATGCGTTGTTGCTGAGCTCGCGCATGTAGCTGTTCAATGTGTCAGCTTCTTTAGTGCGCATTCCCGTCATCAGGCAAAAAGGCAACACCGTGCCCGACATCTCAGCCGTCAACGGTCGTGTCGGGTGGAATCTCTGCAAAGTGTCCGGTATGGAGATCAGGGCGTCCATGGCCGCTAGCGTAGCAAGCACCTTCGCATGAGGCAGTCCGTCACGATCTGTACCCACCTGAAGACACTTTTTCTGCGAGTCCCATCGCAGATACGACCCCCCGACACCGGTTTGATCCAACCAAGCTTAGCCAGGTTTTGCTGATTCGTCTCCTGCCCCGGCTCCTGAAACTGGGTGATTCGTTGCGTGAGCTCCTTGATGAGGCATGCCATCAATGTTGTGCGCATCGGCTTCGTGAGCTGCTCTGGGGAAGTCTCTTTTGTTTGCCGCCAGAGTTTCTGCGCTTCAAACAAGGGTCGAATGACAGAGCAAGGAACATCAATGCGAAAGAACATGACGAAGCCATACTCAGCACGGATCAGGCTGAGGCAATCCTCATGTCGTAACAACAGGCGCTGAACCTGCATCATGAGTTCGTACGACACTTCGCCATTTGCCCGGTCATTCCCTTGCCAGCCCCAGCTCGAGGGCTGTTGATGCTTGGGAGGATGTTGTCGCTTTCCCCCCCACTGATTGCGTCCCTTGCTTCTGGTGTCCTTGTTCTTGCCATCCCCTTTGTCCTGCAACTTGGGCCACTTCTGTGGCGGCTCCTCCTCAGGATCTGCCTGTAGAGCTGCGTTCGGTGGAGCGCCCGCGGCCGTTGGCCAGTACTTAGTAAAGAAATGCATCTCCTCGGTCTCCGTTTCCATCTCTGCGCCGGTCATGACTGTACAATGAGCAACCAGCGTAGTGTCACTAAGCACAAGGTCACTCTTGAGCCCTGGCCACCCAGAGCCAGTACACATTTCGGAAGTGTACATCCGCGAGAGCACTAGGCCTAGCAACCACACCGTCGTCCTGATAGGCCCATGAGCCACCGACTCGAAGCATAGCACGATAGTGTCCACGATGAATGCTGGGACCTTCATGAACAACGAAGGAGATGACCCGAAAGGTTTGCCAAACCATGCTGATGCCGTCAATAAAGATCGGACGCTGTACCGAGCTCGACACCCGAAATCTGTTCTGAAGCTTTTGTTCTCGGCGAAACCTGAGAAGTTGAAGAATGACGAGTCCATCCGTGTGCAATGGCGTTGCAGTCTCCCGCTTTATACCACTCATTCACCACCTGTTGTAAATCCGTGGCCTCTTCCGGTATCGGTAGAGTGATGGGAAGTTCTCCTTGATCTAGTAGTCGGGGACCTTCCGGGGTCAAGGATCGCTGTTCCCATACTGTGTTGAACTGGCTTGCTGGCAACAAAACCTTGAGTAGGAATTCGGCAGCATCCTCTTGTCTGTCCTCAAAACCCCATTGACGACAGAGCTGAGCGAAGCGCGGTATGTCACGTAGAAGCAGAGGCTGCGACTGATCGGCTGCTTGTTGTCCAACCCGCCGCAGAGACTGCAAGGATCTCCACGGATGATCATGACATAAAAGACCATGCATAAGAGCGATCAGCGTGGCATTCATGTAACATAACGTGTGCGGATTTCTCAGCTTGAGGCGGCATGTCCAAGCAGCATCTTCTGGAAGCGCAGGTGGAATGGGCATAGACGAAGAGAACCTGCGAAACATATTAGGAACCTGGCCACCGACATGACCATGTGCCGTAGTCAACGTGCTTACTGGGTTCATCTCCTTGGCATCTCCAGGTGTCTGCACGCCTGAGCCCACCACCAGCTTCCCATGGAAGGCCTTCCCCAGCGGTGTGTTGCGCAGTGCAAAGCTTTTGTAGGCCGGCTGTGTTTCATGTGGCTTGAGGGCAGGTGCCTTCTGCGCAGTAAGGGTCGCCACAAGATGGCCTTGATGCAGGAGATGTCGTATCGCCGCAACCTGAAAGAATGCGGAGCATTTGTCCACGTGCTGCTTCGTATTCTTAGCTGTGCTCCCACAAAACTGACATGGCGTGTTGAAGACAGCAAGCATGCTCTTCGCCGTCGATGCCGCATCCTGTTGAGCTAGGTCCCACGCTCTTGCATGTTGTCGTTGCCAATGTGATTTCACTCTGGATGCCTGTTGCAGCCGTTGACCACAAAGTGCACAGACATCAGCGAACGATCGGATGTATGCGAAGTGCTTGGGAACTTCATGAAGTGGAGTCTGAAATACCACATGTTGACAGAGTTCGGTGGCCTGCGTCTGTATGATGTGCTCCGCCGGGGGCGTCGGTGGAGTGGCTTTCTCTTCCGCCCTGACCTGATCAAGAATCTCCGCCAGCGAAAGGTTGGCGGCAAACCCCTGTTTGAGTCTCATACACATGCCCTGCGTGGTGTGCTTCTCTAGCGCATGCCAATCTCCACAGCGAACACGACAAAATCTGCAAAAGGGAAGCCCAAACAAAGAATGTTCGGCCCGGTTGAAGTGAATGCGTGCTGCTTTGTTGAGATCCGGGTGCTTGGCCTGAATGTGCTTGTGTAGGCTGGGAGCCCCATCAAACGTCACCCCACATACTGGACATGTCATCGGTGTGATGTGGCGCCGGTTGATCGGAGTTAAACAAGTCGATGTGTCGAGCAGTGCAAGCTGTTCAATCTCTGAGTGTAGGACTGTCGCCTGCTGAAGCTCGGTCTCGATGAGAAAAGTGGCACGCTCTGTATCCTGTTGCAGGCATCGAAGCTGTTGCTGTGATCGTATGTGGAGTTGTTTCCTGTGGTCCAGCCCCGCACGCTCAAGGACAGAGGCATTTGTGATCCCATGCTCATGTACTCGGTGCAATTTACGCATGTGTTGCGCCTGTGTGGAACCAACTCGATGAAGAACCTGCGCAGTCACGCCAACTGACACCAGACCATATAGCAAAGTGGGCACAATGCAAGAGTTATAAATGCGCTGTTTCTGTCGTAGACTGAGAGGTCCACGTGTGCGAAGGACTTGTCGTAGAGATGCGAAGCTCTGTTCAGCCTTGTTTATGCGAGCTACCACGGTCTGCACTTCAAAGGCATTGTTGAGAGTTGAACACCCAAGTAAGTCATACTGTCGGCCAATGGTATATGATCATCCCCCTGGGGTCCAGGCACAATGAGACATCTCGCGCCGTTCCAAAATTTGACATGTCGTGGTGGGGCCTGTTTGGCTTGAGTACCACGAAGGGCCATGACTGCAACACACTTTGCGATGCTCACCTCCATACCACATGCTCGAAGTACATCCAGTAGCACTCGTAGTTGCGCGATGGCCTTTCGAAGCGACTGAGGATCAACAATTTCCCAAAAGCAGTGTTTGTCCTCCGCATAGATGCTCATATGCTTGGATGTCCAGCGTTGCTTATTATGGGACTCTACGATTCGACAGAAACGAATGACCCATGCTGTGTAGATGAGAGGAGCAATGGGACAACCTTGACGTAGTCCTCTGGTCATGTGCGTCACGCCATGTGACTGTCCATGCCGAACGTGTAGCACCGTTTGTGAGTGTACTCGAACAAGGACTCTTGCCAATGATGAAGGCATGCCAGTGTCGATCAGCGCATCAAACATTTCGGAAAACTCCAACCGATCAAAAGCTTGTGACAAATCCAGCCCACACATCAACCCTCCTACCAAAGTCAACCTCGCCTGATGCAGAACTTTGGCCGTGTGATCCATAGTAGCGTCCTGCAGATTTCGCCGTACTCTTCTGCAGTGTGAGCTACCCCTGAGAATGGCGTCAGCAGTGGAGAACCCCGCTCTGTACGCATACTGAGGAAACTGTGCCAGGCATGCTTGCACGAAAGGTTCCGCCTTACGTTTTAAAAAAAACCAGAAATGCTTTGGAGTCTGGAGACATAAGCCCAACAGTACGCAAGTTCTGAGGACATGTCGGGGATTTGTTCGGCTTTGCAATCCACGCGAGCTGCACATGACACCACCCTATCGGCACCTGCGGCGAGCTCCCGCATAGCGCTTGTTTGGCGATCTGAGCTAGGCGCGGGGCGACTTCATGTTTCATGTCTTTCCACCCCTGTATGGAAGCAGAAAACCCTGGAACGGCCTTAAAGTTCTTCAGGCTTTGTAGGGCATCAATCCACGCATCGGCCTCAAAGTATGATTCAGGGAGCGCCTCGAGCTCAGGAAGCACAGAAGAGCTTTGTCACATAGTCAACCATCATTCGGCATTCTTGGTCACTTGATATAAGACAGCCCTTCGAATCACGAAATCTGATTTTCTTGCTGAAGCCTTTGGTGGACAGCTGCCGAACATGCTGAAAGACCTTTCTGGCGTTGCCTTGCACAGCCGCATTCTCCGCTTGCTGTAGGATGTCAAGCACTTGTTGTCGCTTGCGTTGTCTAGCTGCCCTCCGCAGTTCACGATGCTGTCTCTCTAACACCATGTGAGCAAGTAACCGTGCAAAACAGCAAGTGACCAATCGTGTTTTATCCGCCACCGGTAGAACAGGCAGCAAATCTAGATCATGCCGAAGCCGCCAAAAGCGAGTGATAACACCACCAATGTTGATCGGTTCAGGGCGGGGAGGCTTAAGGTCCACGATGTTACAATCCCGACGCATGCAGCCCTGTAGCTCTTCAAGCGTCCGCGCTTGGGAGATGTTTGAGGGAAGCTTCTCCAAGCTAAGCTGCGCATCCGCTCGTCGTTTCTGTTTCCAGGGATGCCACCGCAATGGAACAGATGCAAGTAGAATCTCGTGCCCAGAGGATCGCCATCCAGCCAGTGGTGTCGGTTCCACCGTGCATCGCTTAGCCACTCCATCCGCTAGGGCGGACCTTACCATGATGTAGTCGATCTGCGATTGTCCCTGAGGATGCCGATATGTATATGTTTTCCTCGTCCATGTGTTCAGCGCTGTGATGCGGTGCTGTTGGATTATGTCCAGGAGTAGGGAGCGGTCTCGTTGATGTGTGGCATGCGGACTTCCCCGGTGTATCCCAAACCCAGCCACTCCCATTCTAGGCTCAAGTACTGCGTTGAAGTCTCCCGCCAATATGATTTCTGATCGTAGAGGAAGGGATCCTATGAGACCATCAAGCTGACGCCAAAGTTTCTCCCGACGTCTGACAAGATCTTGTGTTTGCTCTGCCGTCTTTGCACTCCAGGCATGTTGATAAAGATTTAGAATATCCACCTGCTGCTTACCGAGAATGCATCGGACCTGAGTGAGTCGTCCTGGTATTACCTCTTGCCATGAGAGCGAGTTCATCGACCAGCGTTGCTCGAATCGCCGTCAACACTCCTCCTTGTTGAGGTTTTGGGGCTGCTGAATGAAAAATGTACCAGCCACCCTGTTTCCACTCACTGGTGAATGACCAATGAGTTTCCTGTAAAAGAAAAGCACCTATGTGACCCTGGGCCTCAAGCCACTGAAACAGTTCGGCCTTAACCTCCAGGCTAAGACCGCTGCAATTCCAGCTGAGCACTCCTAGCCGCTGTGTAGTGTCACGGGCTACTGGTTGATCATAGACAGGTGCGTTCGGCACAAACTCGCGCTTCACACTGATGTACTGTCCCTTGTACCATGCGTAGCCATCCCTAGCCGCTCTTCTCAATGCACGACGGTAGGTTCTTTTCGCTATGCGAACCCGCGTCGGAACTTGCTGTGTGGGCATATTTCCCTCTTTCTTCGTCACCGCATTCGCAGTGACTCCAGACACCCTAGAGGGACAGGTGTCAACCCTCACGCCGGTGGCCGATGTATTGCCTCCACGGAGACCCTGTACCGATGACCACCTCCGGACTTGGGACCGGAACGAGCACTCGCCCACACAATCTTGAAAATTCGTTTCTGGTCTACATTCTGTCTGTGCTTGCCAGACATGTGACAAGAATTCAGAGGCTGCATCATATGGGGCCGTAGCTAAGCCCAGGAAGCAATGAAGTCGCATAATCCAGTCAGCAATGAAAATACACAAGATGGTGCGGATAGTTATGTGCGCAGAAGGCCTTGAACAACAGAACACACTCCAGTGGAAAAGTATCCTCCACGTCTTCGATGATGCGCTGTACTGCTGCGCCGGTCCAGTAGGCCTGCAGTAACTCCTGGAGGTAAGGACTGTATTCCTGCAGATGATCCAGCAGAATGTCAGTGGCCGCTGCTTTCATGCGCACAACAGGATCAATGCCAAGCTTATCCATTGCAGCCCCGCGTTTGAACCGCTCGCGGCGCTTTACTACTACTACTACTACTACTACTACTACTACTACTACTACTTCTACTACTACGACGACGACGACTACTCGTAGGGCTTGGAGTTTTGGGAAGGTCTGTGGTCCGCGTTCTTTCAGGGTTT